ACATTAAATGGGGATAAGAATCAGCTGGCAGTGGCAAGTCATGCACGATCTAATTTTATTAAATAGATACATTCTCGTGCAATGTGAATTGAATAATAAAAATAAATGATTTGTTTCCCAAAAAACAAATTGTTCAAGAAATTGTTAAAGTACATAAAATATGTATACATTTTTATCTCATTCAGAGTAAATAATGTAAAAAACATAAGAAACTTGGTCGGATTTGGAGAAAAAGGAAATTTAAATTTTTCAAACTTTATTTGCGAGTAGACTTTCAATTAATGATAGGACTTGGGATGAGAGGGTGGATTGATGGAGATACAGAATATAAAGGAAGGCTTAACTAAAAATTGTGAACCATTTATTGGAAAATCAAACTCTTTGCTATGGCAACTTGGATTTGTGAAGGCCTTCAATATCTTTTGCACGTGTATAACTTGTTCATAGATACAATAGGTTTCATTGGTAAATAAAACTACATTTAAATGACAATGGGTCGATGGCATTCTAGGTTTGGCTGTGGCTAAAATGAAGAGATTTTGGTGTTTTTAGCTTTTATATGTAGGCGGCTTAATGCATTCCTCATAAGTTAACTATTTGATATTGCAAGAGAATTTCAGTTGTCCAATGGAAAATCGAGAATTGAACACAACAATCAAGTTATTGGTTCTAAGGAACCAAAACGTGCTCTTTTTTCATGGAACTCATCTCAATAGGCCAATTCTCTTTGAATTCAGTCTAGTTCTACAGATTTCAGGCACACTATTCTTGGAATGTCGGTGTTCAACATGACACTCCACATGTTGGAAACGAGCATACTGCCATAGCATGAGTTTCAGTGCTTCATAGAATTCAGAAGAGAATTGTACCAAATTGCTCTTGATTAGATACTTTACACACAGAACCAAACATCAAAGGGGAATATGAATCCGGCCGCCACTGCCTAGAGAGGTCGGACCCAATTCTTTCGAGTATATACATATAGTGTTGTGTGAATTTATTAACATAAAAAAATGATTTGTTTGCAAAAAAATCACTCAGGATATTATGCAATTAAATATGTGTACTTTAGAGCAAATAATGTAACAAACATAAGAACTTCGGTCGGATTTGAAGCAAAAGGAAATTTTGATTTTTCAAACTTCATTTGCGGGTCGACCCTCAATTATGGGTAGGATTTGGATGACAATGTGGACATATAGAGAAAAAGAATATAAAGGAAAAGTTAACTAAAGATTGAAACATGTCTTGGAAAATTAGTTTTCGGCGATGGCAACTTGAATTTGTGAAGGCCTTCACTATGTTCACAGCTTGATAACTTATCTATTAGATGCAATAGGATTCATCCATAAATAAAAGGAAAGTTGATCAAGTTGCCATGAATGCTTGTGGAGCATATCTCTGATCGTTAGTTGATCTGCCGAAAAAAGGTCAAACTCATTTCGTATAGAAAGAAAGATGTGGGTTTTCCGAGAACGATAGGCTCAAGAAAAGAATTCGTCTTCATAAATATGAGGAAGACTGACGCTGATGAAGATTTGGATTTCGGTAGTTTTTAATGGATGGCATCATTCAGGATTGCAGGTCTGTGGCCAACTAACATATGAAGAATATAGAGTAGAAGGTTCTGGGTTTGGATTTACATTTAGCTGTTCTCAGCTTTTATATTTATTATGGTTGGCAAAATGAACCATACATTAGAATTTGGTTTTACAAGAGAATTTCAGTTCTGTAATAGGAAACCAAGAACTAAACATAACAATCCAGTTATGAGTTTTGAAGAACCATAACTTGCTCTTTCGTCATGGAACAAGCAAGTTCTCTTTGGTTCCTGTCTTAAATATATTTTTCTACTTAAATATTTTTTATTTAATATTTCTTGCCAACAATGACCCACCAACATGGTGCTTTGGCTGGGGTAAATGACAGGAACAAGTCTCATAAACCAGAAGGTGACAATTCAAAACAATGAATTGTATTATTCTTCATGCATTAATTATACCATACCCTCTTTACGGTATCCTGACATTCAGGTCAACCTAAATTCTCTAAAATGTGGGTTACAAATTTGGTGGGGGAACTCACAGCATGGACTAGCAAGTTCCTTGGACGCAGTACTAACATGATTAAACAGAAAACAAAAGAAATCTACACATTTAATAAGTCAAATGATATTCAGTTTCATTTATAGAACTACAGCTAACATGGTACTCGTCTTAAATTGATAAACATCATATTTGTGGTCAGTATTTGCCAGTGACCAAGTGAACAATATTCCTCTGATACTTTTATGCATTCAAAAGAGATATAACCTTTAGAGTCCATATTGAGATGACAAGAGCTATATAAAACTTCCTAATTACATGCCTCCAAAACTAATAACCAGTAAAACAATGCCAAGAATTTAAAAAAGTTCCATCAATTACTGAGCGTGAATTTGCCAACGTTGCATTCAAACTAAGTTTTAGATAAACAAGAGAATTTCAAGAAGTTTTAACAGATAAAAAAGGTTGCAGGGCATAAGGCAATATTCGGCAAAATAATGCAATTTATTGTAGCAGCGCTTGGATAATTCAAGAGGATCCACAAGTTCCCACCCCCCGCCCCAACACAGGTCTGTCGGTGCACATTTATTCATTCACATAAAATGAATAGTAAATCCACCATCCAAGGATTAGGAAGAGCAGTTCCTTTAAACAAGATGGATAAGGATTGACCTGATCATTTCCACGAAAGGAGTTTGAGACGCTTCCATCTCCACCGACGCTGCCAATACCCATCATTTTATCTTGCTGGAGACTGTGATTCGAACTCTGAGGTTGCTGACCAGAAAGCGCATGTTGCTGCTGTGTTTGATTGATATTCTGCTGCTGCTGCTGTAATTGTTGGGCCATTTTAATCTATAAAGTAAACAGACGGTAACAAAGGATATGTCAATCTGTTGCAAGACTTCCCTCTTTTGATGCAAATCTATAACAAGACATAGCATTATTGGCTAAGCTTAAAAAGTTTGCTTTTATGCAAATTTACTTACAATAAAATAAATAAATATTTTAATAGTTAAAATAGAAAATCAGTTATTTTAACAGTAATTCAAGAGTTACTTTGAACAAGAAACCTTTCTGACTTAGAAGTAAGAATACAACAAATCCAAAAATGTTGGGAAATAAAGTGCTTAAAACTAACTTATAGAAAGTTTCAAAGCCAAACGTGTGCAAGCCACAGAAACACTAGTATAAAAACTTGCAAGAACAGATATTAAATGAGGAAAATGCACCTTTAATAACATTTCCTGATCTGCACGAGAAAAAACAGGGCCACTGGCTTGCATGGGTGATCCCATATTAGGAACTACATCCCCAACCGAATTCGAAAGGCCCTCCTTCCCCATAGACATACTTCGGTTATTAAAAAGCATTCTCAGCCTTCTGCTATCCGCATCACTGGCAGATGGAGAAGTCAAATTCTGCTGCGCAAGAAGGACCTGCTGTTGATGCTGGGGCGCTAGCATTTGTAGTTGATGAAAGGGCTGAGGGCCCTGAATGAATGACTTTTGCGGCTGAAGAAATCCAGAGCGAAGCTGTTCGAGACCCTAGCAAATTAGGCATAAAACATTGAGAAAGCACTAATAGAGGGAAAACAAATTGATTTGACAGATGCATTTGCAAACCCAGAGAATATGACGTCACATTCCTCACCAATATGAAGCTCGAAAAATGTATTAGATGATAAGTATTTCAGATAGCTGCAAATATTAAAACATTGGCAATTTCAAAGACACCTTGTACTAGCAAGTAAAAGTCACTCGGAGCACACCAAATTCTAAAGTGACGTCTATTCAAGCGAGAATATCAAAATATGTGGTATAATGTACATGTATAGAATTTGGGAAAGAATCAAGGAGAACTTCCCACCAAAATCTAGAACCTTCAATAATGTCCTGAAATATGAGCCCAATAGCGAATACCATCCTTGAAAGAGAGAGGGTGGGGGGGGGGG